CTTTACCTCTTTTTCTCCCCCGAAATTTCATACAAACACACACACACACATATATATATATAGTTGACTTTTCTTACTAATTATAATTCAAAATTCAAGTATTGTATTAGTATTATTTTTGATTGTCTCTGTATATAATTATAATAGAACAATTTTTCAGAAAAAAATCTAAAAATATATATATTAAATTATAAACTTTATTTTTATAGAAAAATAAAAAATATTTATTAATAAAATTGAAGACGTATTTTACCATATTTTATTAATAGATTTAATTCCTATTGCATTCCTTCTGTTTGCTACTATAATTAAAATGAAAAATAATATTAATTAATAAATTGTAATATTAAGTTTGTAAAATATTTGAAATTAGAAAAGTAGGCACATTAATTAAAATTTGTTGCAATTTTGGTAAAAAATGAGTAATTCTTTTGTGAATGTTAATTGAATTAAACTTTTCTTATAATTTGGAGTTATTTTTGATTCAATATTACGTCAAGTATCTAAGACATACCAATAAAATGATAATCGAGCAAATTATATATCGAATTCTTGGCAAATTTTTATCAACCAGAAAAGTTCATTCGAGCATTAATAACAAATATATGTACATTCAAAGTTTTATTATAAATTAATTTATCCTTACATTTACGAATTTCAAATTTCATGTACGTAATAGTTTATAATTAAATTCGTTCCGTTTTCGATATGATATTCGTTTCACATCATTATGTCATGATTAAAGCACGAAGTTTATTAGTGCAATGCACAAATACATACAGATTTTCAATTCTAGCGCTAACGCTAGTACAATTCTATGTGCGTTAATTGACATCACAAAGTGATGTTATATAGAATCTCGTGATCTTGTGTGATGCATGCACATGTATAAACATACACAAACACATTTAACTGTAAAAATTTTCTTTCGCCAATCGAAAAGAGTAAATGATCTCTTGTGTGCAGCATTTATAATAAAAAGGTGTGTGACAAAGCTATTATTTACAATTTATTTTTTTTATTATTGTTTTTTTTCTCTTGCGGAGTTCCAAATTCCGGATACTTTGTTTGCTTTAGATCATAGACATAGATACATCTGCATACAGTGTATATAGTTGTCTCACGCGAGGGGTGTGTTATCCATAAGAAAATGGACGGTTTCAACTTTCCCTTATATCACCATGAGAGAAGAATTATTTTTCGGTATTCAGCTGATGGTGAAAAGTTCACCTATATAAATAAGTTTAATTCATACAGGTCTGGGAACATTACGCCTATTAATCTTCGAGCATTCATGGATATATATATATACATATATAAGTTCCCCCAATGTTTTTTTCTCGATAATTCTTTGATCTTCGTAATTAGCGTTATTGCGTGATCGATTAAAAATGGGGACAACCTTTTCGTAAAAAAATGATAATAGATAACCTGATATTTTTTTTCATTAAAAGAGAAACCGTACGTTTTAAGATCTCTCTCGCAATTGATTGTTATTAATAGAAGCTAAAATATTGTCGGCGTCATTCACCATTTTAATTTGCAGTACTAAATTAAAAAGTATAGTCAAACGGACTAATCAAAATTAAATCACGGTCAAAAAGTAGATTTTGTCCGAATGAATGGTGGTGTGGTGCCATATAGGAGGCACAACATTTTCACTCCACAGCGCTAGACTATAATAATATTCCCGATATTCATATTATCAACATCATCATCACATAGGATAAGGGATACAGTAAATAAATTTTTCGACGCACGAATGAAACAATGCACTTGTTTAAAAAAATAAGAGCTAGAAAAATCCGTGTGCGCACTTACCGGACCCAAGAACAAGAACTCTCCGTACAAACACGAGATTTAAAATTAATCGATAAACTTCCAAAAAAAGATACATTTGTTCCTTGATAATGGTCATTAATAGGATATTATTTAATAATCACACTCACATTTGCTTCATAACATCACACCTGAAAAATAGTAAATACTATAAGAAGACTTGGTTAAAAAAGGTTTCTTATTTGTGTGTTTTTAATGACCATTATCATGACCACTATCACTGGTAGCAAAACTTTTTTCTCGTGCGAAAACAGTTATCGTTATTGCATTATCCAGTTTGTCAACATATTTTTCTTTTGTTATCAATCCACAAAATGTGACTGAGGCGCCCGGAACTAATGAGAAATTGACCCGAACACGTATAATGATTTTGTGTATGTGTAAAAGTGGGGGCTGGTTGACTTGATTTCGATGCAAAAAAACTGGATTGTCGACTTGATTGATTGGCTACGTATTGCCCATGCCATTTCTGAGATCAAACAGATAATAATTCTTATGTGATCTAGTTCATGTGAAGTTGCGAACTTAAAAAAAAAACGCATCCGTCATCGTTGAGCTATGATTATATCATGGTAAAAATTTCTCCTCTTGTGTTATCATAGGGAGTATTACATATACTTGACATTTTCTAATGTGTAATTGAACGGAACATTTGCAAATGATAATTCCGTGAAAATTAAACTTTGTTTGTTCTGTGTACCATCTCAACAAGATCTGCTAGCTTTTTTGTCTCGGATGGAATTGACTTCAGGAAAGGAAAAGATGTAGTTAATGTTTATTTTTTGGACGTGAACTCAGACGAAAACACGATGTATTCGTGTTAATCGCAAATATTATATGCGAAAATCGGAGCGTATGTATTTCTTTTATTAATTAACAAAGTATTATAATAATGATATTTGTAATAATAATAGTAATTTTGTGTATAATTTGTAAGAAAAGTCAACTATATATATATATGTGTGTGTGTGTGTTTGTATGAAATTTCGGGGGAGAAAAAGAGGTAAAG